AATATTTTATACACTACTTGTCTCCATTGCTGATAAATAAATCTATTCGATCATTTCGGAAGCACACATAGATATGTATGTGTGACAAATAAGATTTCGCTACTCAAAACCCTGAATAAATAATAAAAACGGAAACTTGAGGGTGTGATATGATTTGACAAATAATCATGTATCCGAGGATTTTTGGGGTTTGCTATTAAATCACGTTAGGATCATATGATTTATTATATTCGTAAAGCTCGATTTCAATAGTAATCCGTTTGACCGAAAGAATTTTTTTTTTTTGCAATGAAAAAACACTTTCCTATTTATTTAATTAATGCAACCCCATTTGAGACGAAAAAAAGAAAAACGGAATGATTAAAATAAAAACCAATTAAAAAAGACCGAAAATATAAGAATGAATAAATTAAAAAAAAAAAAAAATCTTGGCAAAATAATTTTTTTTTTTTTTTTTTTTTTTTTTTTTTTTTTTTTAGAGATTAAAATCGATTCAACATTTTTGAATCGATCCCGATCCTATAAATCCTATTACTTAGCAGTAAGCAAACCTGGAAAAATTTTAAAAATCAATTAAAGATACACATTATTTTACTTTTTTTTTTATCGTGGTTTGAAATTTAATAAAATATTTAAAATAACCTTTTTCATTTTCATATATATTCTGGGGACAGAGAAATTTTTTCATGTGTGAAACCCTATTTGTCACTTACGTTAGTATCACATGGTTTAGGGTTAGGGTTAGGGTTAGGTAAGGTATATATATAAAGGCGATGTATAAGGAGTATCGCCCCCGCGATGAATAAATTTACTCTATTATATCAATTTGTATGTACCACATTGAACTTCACCAATGAATGTCAGTTTTCCCATACCTCTAAGTAGTTGCAAATTCTACACTAACAATACTATTGAAATAAATAATATCCACTGAAAAATATCAAACATGGGCAAAAATGAAATTTCAAACAGTTTAACGTGAATTCCAAATTTTCTACAATAACTAAATATAGTTTTCGTATGGAAACTTTAATATTTCTTAATTAATTTATTGCAAAAATTGTAAAGAATAAAAAACTGACATATAAACCCTTCTTTAGCATTAAAAGTAAATATTTTCTTGAAAATTTTTAAATCAATAGTAAAGACAGGAAATCAAAGGAAAAGTAGCTTAGGCCATTAATTTTATTGGATAACAATAAATACATATTGAAGAAGAAACAAAAAAAACTGTCTAAAGCTAAACAACAGAAGCACTTTGATGCAAATTGAACATAGAACAAGCACACCCACTTGCTTTTAAGTTCAGGGATTGACTTTTCTGACCAACAGATATATATATTGAAGAAAAGAAAAAGGAAATTATAAAAAAAAAGAATAAAGAAAAGGAATACAACCAATGTAGTTAGTAAAATTAATCATCATAACGAAGGAGTGATATAAAAACATCCATTACCTCTTGGTAAGAGTTTAGCGTTATTGTAGTCTAAATTGTCAGCAAGGACGTAGTCCTAAAGAAGTCTAAGCGTACGACTTTCGTTAAGCTTTACCTAATATCATTAGATAAATTCATATAGAATTTATGTAAATACATATAAAATAAGAAACAAAAGATAAACTATTTAAAGCTAAACTAGCAGAAGCACTTCGACGCAAATTGGACATAGGACAAGCGAACCCATATTTTCTACTTGCTTTGCCAATAGTACGAAACGAGAGGATACTTCTTTCTATCCTTAGTTCAGGGAGTGAATTCACTGGCCAGCAGATGTATCACTTTAACTAAGGTTATTTGTGGTTTTTTTTTTTTTTTTTTTTTTTTTAATGAAAAAAAGAAAAAGGAAATTATAAAACAAAACAAAAGGAAGAGAGCGTAGTCCTAGACTACCTTTTGGTTAGTGTCGGCATTGTCGCTGTCAATAAGTTATTGCAAAATAACAATTTCGTGCTTCACCTATGTTAAAGAAAAGATTAAAATGAATGTTTTGTTTGAAAATCTGCGATATATATTATATACGTGGGAAAATTTTTTCAAAGAATATGATTGGTTGAAATGAGCCACAAAAAATTTCCATTGTGATCGGCATTTAATTATCTGTGCCACAAAAAAATTCGCTAAAGGAATTTATGTTCAAAAGCAAACAACAATTTGGAATTTGGAATTATTATTGTGAATCAATTATATTCCATCCAAAGTTAGTAATGAGCCTCCCCCCCAAAAATATTGATTAAATAACTAAGAATTTATTCCACTTCCTTCGATACAAAAATTATAATTATATTTGATTGACGAGATTGTAATTGTGGTTATGGATGGTGAATTGGGCTTAGCATCCTAACACGCTATGTATGATGGATGTAAAGATTTAATAATATACCTTTTTTTATTTTTTATTTTTTTTCACGTGTTTTCTATATTTTAAACATTTTTTTTTTTTTGTTTGCAAAGAATGATAGCATTATGAAATTGACTTTAAAATCCGAGAAAGAAAAGTTACATTGAACATTTTTTAACGAATTAATCAAGTTTTTTCAATGTCATTTCAGATTTTTACCGAAAGTATAATTAACGAATGAATAATTTTTTGAGATTTTAATTATTTCGATCGAATAAAAAAAATTTATTCATAAAGTGATATAAATATTTATAAAAAAAAACGTTTAAAATTATATAAATGTATTTTATTAAAAATAAAAATAAAAAATAATTAAAAGTTAGTTAGTTTCATGGGTTTGATATTGGTCCGAAATTAATTAAAACAGAAAAGTAATTTGCAACTTTAGCAAAATAATCTTTAAACATAAACTGTTTATATTTAACAATATTACTACGATCAAAACCAAAAATATTATAAAAATATAAAACTTCCAAAACAAATCGTCATAGAAGTTCATTTTGGGTTTCAAACCTTATTATTGTGTGTCCCACAAAAACTTTCATCGTGAGGTTTGACCCTTGCGACTCCTGGATCTGGAGGGCCATTATGTCGGGCTATTCGACGTTGTGAGAGTCGAGAAAATTTAGGGTAGGGGACCTGGGATTGTTTAGGTTTACAATAACATTAATTTGAGGTTGAAATGGATTACGTGCTCATCTAAAAAAAATGTAAAGTTTAACTTCACAGAATATATTCTAAAAATTTATTCGTTTTGCAGTTTGAATATTTTAATAAAGTCGTCCCAACTGTTAAATGATTTTTAATTGTTGCCACCTATGTGAGAATATTCATAAAGATTTTATACTATTCTTTTTATCTAATACTCATCTTTTATTACTTACGATAATATTTGATTACTGTTTCATCACACAGCTTGATTATTTAAAATGTTACTGTGATGATATTTAGTACAAAAATTTAAAATCATCGGTAATTACTAAAAGGATTCATACAAACTTTCGTCGTTTTCTTACTGCAGCTTCTGGTTGTATTACAATGACTCGGAATGGGCGCAACATTTTTGGCAATTGTCCCGAGGTGTTTTAGCATCTCATTGGATATTTTAGAAGGTCCAGTCGATTACGCGACGATAATGATCGTGGCGCAGCTGATGTATTGTCCACGTGACTAACCAATTTTTTTTGCGTTTAAAAAAAATACATTTCTACTTCATTTTGTTGATGATTGTTCTTTTTACCAAAAATGTGATCTAAGAATTCATCATCATCATT